TGGATGATACAATCCCTGTCCTAAAGGATCTTACAGTCACTTAAGTGAAGTAACATATATGCAAATGAAGTACAGAATTGACTATGACAAAGACCCATTTCAGACGGAAAACAAAGTGCTTTCTTAATTAAATATCCAAGTTACTTCTAGTGGGCAATATTGTTTATGGAGCAAGTAGTCCTTGCAGAAAGGTGCTTTGAGTTTATCCTTGAGGGTAGGTTGATTTTTACAAGGTAGAAATGTTAAGTGAGGTGGTTATTTTCAAACAGAGTTGCTGTAATGGAAAAGGTGTAGAACCAGAGCTAACTTGGGCCACAGGAAGTAGTGGGAGAGAACAGAGAGAAATGAACCAGGAACAGTAGATTAAAGCTAGAGCTTGAAGCCCTTTAAACTAAAGGCTGAAGTTAGACTTCATGTTATAGGCATTGGGGAGTTTTGAAGGATGTTATTCTAAAAAAAGAGCTATGCTTTTATTGGGGCATGGAGGCTATTTAGGAGGTTACTTCCATAGTTGAGGTGGGAAACAAGGAAGATCTGAATCAAAGACGTAACAATGAGTTGAAAGAAGAGTTACGGAGACACGCTCCACAAGGGTGCAAAGTGACAAGAGAGGACTGACTCAGAGGTACTTAAAATCTGGGGCCTCACTGACTTGGAAAATGAAAATTGAACAGAGAAAAGGAGGAAATGTTGAGTTATTTTGAGTGTGGTGAATTCTTCAAGCAGTGGGGAAGTCAAGAGTTCACTGGGGTGGTGTTTGCCACAAGTAGACTGTGCTGTTGCTTCTTTTTGACCTAGAGATAGATCCTCAGTTTGTTTCTAAAAATTGTTTTATTTCGAAAACTTTTCAAGCTTGAAAAATAAATAACAACCCAACAAAGGTTGTTTCATTGTTTCAAGTAACTAGCAGTCAGCACTTGGTACAAGGATGTAGTTAGCAGGAAAAGCTTTCAGCCTTCTCACTCTCCCCTCAGCACCCTGCTCCCAGCATCTGCGCCCAGGCGGCCCAGCACAGGGGCCACCAGCCACGTGTAGCTGGTGAGCACTTGACCTGCAGCCGCAAGGTGCTGCAATTACAGAAGCATATGCCGGGTTTCAAAGACTTGGTAAAATAAAGAATGTAAAATAGTTCTTAGTGTTTTATATTGATTGATTACATGTTAAAATGATAGCGTTTTGGATATTGTTTCAGGTTTCCAGAGCACCACCCATATGTTAGGTGATTTCTATGACCAGCATATATTCATTTTAACAGCTAAGATTGTTACAGTGAAAGGGAAAAGACTGTCTTTGAGTTTGGAGAAATCCTTGCACAGGGATTATGCTCACCCCTCCCAGGAGAGGCACCCTGAACATGTTCATTTCTCCAGCAACCAAAAAATATAGTCACCTGTTCAACGTTTCTGCCCAGAAAAGCCAACTTTAGAGATTCAGCGCCCAAAGTTTTTACTAGGGACTGTTCACATAGGCGCACTCTGCCTTGAATATACCAAAATTCTCGACTCACAGAAGGAAAGCAGTTGTTAATATTTGGCATAAATGATATTAACACAAACTCAATGCACCATGAACTACCCTTGTCAGTCAGGGAACGGAGGAAAGCCAAGTTTCCAGATGCCAGCTAAGGACCACCCTTGCACACAGACCCTTCTGAAGGTAGCCGCCGTGATCCTGCTGCATTAACTTTCTGCACAAATACATTAGGTTAAACAAACTATCAGTGGCTTCCCTGATGGCTCAGAGGTAAAGAATACACCTGCTAATGCAGGATCCACAGGTTCCATCCCTGGGTCAGGAAGATTTCCCTGGAGAAGGAAATGGCAATCCACTCCAGTGTTCTTGCCTAGGAAATCACCAGGACAGAGGAGCCTGGCTGGCTATAGTCCATGGGATCACAGGAGAGTCAGATATGACTTAAAGACTAAATAAGTCTTTAACAGCCAGTAGAATCAACTCCACCTGTCTCTTTTTAAAGACTAATATGGCTACTTGTTCTCACTCTTGACTCACATTATATTTATTTCGGGTCGCAGTTGTCTCAGTCTTATATGTAAAGTTCTTCTCTAATGTATTTTAGTTATTTTCTCTGTAAAACTAATGATTTCTCTTTAATAAAGATCTAGTAAGTAAACAGGTGACAGACCCCCTTCAAGTGATATATTTATACTAATCATTAAAGTTCAGACTAACTGAAGGCTATGGTAGGCTTGACTCCATATCCCAAATGTAGCTTTATTACCTGAGAACAAAAAGTACCCCTCCAAAAAAATGTGTGTGATCAAAATAAAGAATTCTGTGAACTTTTCTAAAACAAAAGTTTCAACTTAAAAATGTCCGCTTGATAAGCACATTTGAGAGCTTCAGTATACTTTTCACATGCTTGTCATTAATTCACATTGTTAACTCTCATTTGTTCTTCTCCAAACTGTTGTTTAGTCACTAAGTTATATCTGACCTTTTGCCACCTCATGGACTGCAGCACGCCAGGTTTCCCTGTCCTTCACCATCTCCTGGAGTTTGCTCAAACTCATGTCCATTGAGTCAGTGATACCATCCAACCATCTCATCCTCTGTTGCCCCGTTTTCTTCCTGCCTTCTATCTTTCCCAGCATCAAGGATCTTTTCCAGTGTATCAGCTCTTCGCATCAGATGGCCAAAGTATTAGAGCTTCAGCATCAGTCCTTTCAATGAATATTCAGGATTGATTTCTTTTAGAATTGACTGGTTTGATTTCCTTGTATTTACTCTAAACTATTAATGATTTATAATTACTATGAATCCATCCATGAAAATATTTCACAGGAGAGTTATATAAATGCATTAATTCTGCATAAGAGGTTCACTTCCTATCTACTCATTGATTGTAGACTGCAAATGTGACTAAAATAGTACTTGGCCAACGTGCATAATACAGAATAGCAACCAGGATATGTTTGACTTCTTCCCAAGCACTGAGTACTAATATATACCTTACTCTTTAAGGAAGGGAATGGTTTTAGGAACATAATTTCCAGGACTAAAACTGTGAAAGCAGCAGAAGATATTTTTGTTAGAATAAATCCATAATGTGATTTTCAGTGACATATTGCCCTACAGGGCCCCTGCAGGCTTAGCTGAAGGACAGAACTATCTCTCAGCATCATTGCCACATCTCATCAGAAGTAGAGGGAACCTAAAATGGTAACCCCCTCCCCTCTCCTGCACCTTGACCCAGTAGTGAGGAAAGGGGAAAGGAGAAGGTCCTCAGGCTGTAAGCCGAGAGCAATTCATAACTGGCAGTGTTTTTGCTATTATCTTTGTCCTTTATTTATGTAATTCAGCCATTTTATATAGTTTAGAATTGAAGCATGTCATTAGCAACCCATGTCAATAACTGATACTTTCATTCTTATTATGAACAGTTATGCTTGTCCACTGAAAATCCATAAAGCTTAATACATTTGTGATTTTAAATATAACTTGCATTCCTACAAAATGAAAGCTGACAGTATCATTGCTTGCTCTGCTTTCTAATTGCTTTAAATAGTGTGGAGAGCAGTTATAAAGAACTCTATGATTTAAAAAAAGAAAAGGCATACTTTCCACTCACTGTTCAATCAGTAAGAAACGCTGAGCAGAAAACCTGGCTTCCTGCCACTCTTGAAGCTGTGAAGAGCATCAAGGTCCTGTCACATAGTGTTCTGTTGATAAACTGTAAGAACTAATCACAGTTTGACTCAGAAAATCGGGTGCAGTGCTCTTTATAACTTCACTCCCCTTGTCTTGAAAACAGCTTCCTTGTATCCCCACTTGTAAACTGGATAAAATAGGTAAAATAAGAGCTCAACATGTAATATGATCTAGTATATAATAGAATTGTGGTATGATAATTAAACAACAGAAAACTCCAGTTTTTAGAAATGAGGAATTTAAAAATACTAGACATATAATAAATGTTCTATGTGATACAGTTTTATGACATATATGACACAACAGAAGTGGGTACACCTGCTAATTTTGTACTTGAATAAAATACCACCATACATCTTCATTGGCTTTTCTGTCCATCTAACAGCTTATTTCTATATCTAATACTTATTTTCCTTGTGATAAGCTTTGAGACCATTAAGGAGTTTTAAAGAATTATACCAAATATGAAATTCAATGGCATATATTCTATATGTCTACTGCTTAAAAACTTTTTTTTTTAATTCCAAAGAGTGCTTTTTTATTTTGTCTGTGGTCATCCATTCTTCCTTCAACAGACATTTGGGTTGCTTTCACCTTTTGGCTCCTGTGCATTATATTACTGCAGTGAACAGCAAGTATCTATTTGAGTCTCTGCCTTCAGTTCTTAAGAATATATACCTAGAAGTGGAATTGCTGGAGCTTATGGTAATCTATATAAATTTTTGAGAACTATTTACCATTTGCCATTTACCATTTACCACAGCAGCTGCACCATTTTACATTCCTACCAGCAAAGCACAAGGGTTCAGTGTCTCCATGTCTTCACTAATATTTTCTTTTACATTTTGAAAAAAATGTTCTGTGTACTAGTTTCGTAAGACCTATATAAAATATGGCTGACCCCTGAGAAACAGGAGTTTGAACTGTGCAGGTCCACTTAACACATGACTTTTTCAGCAGTAAACACTGCAGTAGCACACGTTCCATAATTGGTTCAGAGGGGCTGCCCATGGGACTTGAGCATCTGCACATTTTGGTGTTGGCCACAGGTCCTGGAACCAGTGCCCCACAGATACCGAGGGATGACCATGTATTCATATTGTTATTACACTAAAAGCAATCTTTTGGTGCCCAACCTTGGTAAAAGTTTACATGAGTCAGCATCAGAGAATATAGGCCTTTGTCTTATTGTTTGTGCAGTACAGAGTATATTCACAGAAAAGCCTTTGAGATAGGATATTGACTTTATAACAGCAAATGTAAAATAAATCAGGATGTTATAATCTGTTTGCTTTCTCTTCTTAGCAACAAAGTTTTCTTTTTTTCTACAGCTCCCTGTACAGGTAGCACTTTCTTTTGCCATAGCAACATGTGCATCAATAATTCTTTAGTCTGTAATGGGATTCAAAACTGTGCATACCCTTGGGATGAAAATCATTGTAAAGGTGAGTCTGCTGGTGAAGGCCAACCCTTAAGAGGTGTGGCCATTGCCTTTCACTAAGAAAAAAATCTCTTTTTCTACAACTGTACTTGGCATAACTGCTTTGGCAGAATGAAGACATGTAAAATAAATGTTCTCCTTAATGAATCACAGACCTTTGGGATGTGGTAAAACAATATTATTCTCAACAAAAGCAATTTTTATAGACTATATTTTTTACCTTAAAGTTGTCTATAAGTTTGTCATGGTCATTTATATTGTAAAGATACCTTATTGTCATAATAATGTAGATTGTAACCTAAAGTATTCTTATTTTTAAAATTAAATGGAAATACTATTTAGTAAAAATCAACTGTTGGATTCAGTCTTACAGTGTTAAACAGACTCCTTATAAGGACTGTGTTTTTTATTCCGTGAATTTCCTATACTATATTTCTGTGTATACTCCATGAAAGAGAAATATGCCTTGTGGTAATGCTGGTTATCAAATCACTGTGTCAGTACTACAGTTTATCTCCCTTTTATCCTCCCAAGAGTTCAATAAATATCTTAACTATGGAAAGTTAATGTATGATATTGCTGTCGTAAGTACTTGAGAGGAAGTATTTTCAGGTAACCATTGAAAACCAGTGGACCATGGTTGTCAACATATCTGAGTGGGTCAGTGAAATCATTTTTCTTCTCCTTGCTTATGTCCATCAGTAGGAATACTATGGGTTAACTCAAATCTACCATAGAGCAGAAAGCTAAAATTGATAGAACAAGAGTATTTTGTTTTGACATTTTCTATATTCATGTATTACTTTGATTTGCAAACTATGTGCTCACGTGTTATTGCTGTTGTTTAGTCATGTCGGATTCTTTGAGACCCTGTGGACTTTGGCCCACCAGGCTCCTCTGTCCATGGGATTCTCCAGGCAAGAATACTGGAGTGGGTTGTCACTTCCTTCTCCAGGGGATCTTCCTGACCCAGAGATCAAACCCGCGTCTCCTGCATTGGCAGGCAGATTGTGTACCACTGAGCCACCAGGAAGCCCATGTACTCACACACCTGAGTAAAGAACCAAGTCCTTTTCCTTTTTCTGTAGTCTGTCTAGCTGCCTTGTGATTGGTTAGTTTAACCAGAAGTCATACTAGTTTTATTTTGTTTAAAAACCTAATAATTTTAAATTACATTTCCTGTGTTGTATTTGACCCAGGTGTTCTGCTCTACCTAAAAATATTTTACCAATTTGTGACAGGAATCATGAATGAATTTTAAAAGTCTTCCTGTTTTTCTTTCTCTTTCTGCAGAAAAGAAAAAAGCAGGACTGTTTGAACAAATCACTAAAACTCACGGAACAATTATTGGCATTACGTCAGGGATTGTCTTGGTCCTTCTCATTATTTCTATTTTAGTGCAAGTGAAACAGCCTCGAAAAAAGGTCATGGCTTGCAAAACTGCTTTTAATAAAACTGGGTTTCAAGAAGTATTTGATCCTCCTCATTATGAGCTGTTTTCCCTGAGAGACAAAGAGATGTCCACTGACCTGGCCGACCTGTCAGAGGAACTGGACAGCTACCAGAAGACGCGGCGCTCCTCGACTGCGTCGCGCTGCATCCACGACCACCACTGTGGGTCACAGGCACCCAGCGTCAAACAAAGCAGGACCAACCTCAGTTCTGTGGAACTTCCTTTCCGAAATGATTTTGCACAACCACAGCCAATGAAAACATTTAATAGCACCTTCAAAAAGAGTAGCTACACTTTCAAGCAGGCACATGAGTGCCCTGAACAGGCCCTAGAAGACCGAGTAATGGAGGAGATTCCCTGTGAAATTTATGTCAGGGGGCGAGAAGATTCTGCACAAGCATCCATATCCATTGATTTTTAATCTTCTACTGAAGGTGACATTAATTATGAAGTCTGTACGTATGCGGCCTACAGAGCATCCATATTGTTTTCAACAGCCAACCCTTTTCTCCTGTCAGAACTAGAAAGACCTTCATTTCCCCTTAATGTAATGGTGAAGTTTTTATTATCTCAGGCAGTCTATATGTTAACCCAACCAAGGAACTTAGTCCATGCAGTACAAAACAAGAAATAAGCATCTACTACTCGGTGTCCTACAGACAACGCACCAGTTACATAGCATCTGGAGGGGGAGCGGCGGTGTTGCGCCAGGCTCAGCAGCAGGAAGACTGTTCTTGACTGACACAGCTCTGTCAAAATTTTGATCCCACAATAAGTTTAAACATAAGATTTTTCTTCACATTCTTTTTACTTTTTCTTTTCTCTAAATTTAATTTGTTTTAGAAGCCAGTAATGTTGCCATTTCCGTTTCTTATATAAATGGTTAATGTTTCACATGTATTTCAGTATAGGCATTTGTTCTAGAATTTGTCAAAATATAACTAGTTACTGTGGTTAAGTGCCAGTTAAGACACAGAATTATGTTTCATCCATCTGTTTCTTGAGTAATTTCCATACTGCTGCCTTTTAATTACTGGATCCTTAACCTTTATTTTCTGTGACATGGTTTAACACCTTTAAGTCATATTTTGTTTTGGTTATATTACATTAGAAAGTTTCATAATCCTAGGATATATGCACCATTGCCAGTTATGACTAAAAACTTAATTAAAATTTTTTGAAATTTCCCAGGTTTTATCACATTCAGTGATAGCCCACTTTTTCCTGTGAGTCATTTAATTCATTTTGGGGGCGGCCTATCATCATATTTATTTCCAGTGTTACTCATTACTAGATCTATGTTTCCTATTTTTATAAAAAGGCTATTTCACTCCCTTTGTATTGGTTTGTCCTATAGCATATGGTAACCAAGGTTGTATGAGAGTTAAAGGAAAATGCCTAAGAAACTGTATAAGCCTTTAGATTGCTTCTTACTTGGGACAATACATTTTTCTAGTTCTTACCAAGAATAACAATTTCCACTTTTTTTTAAACTGCACTTTGACCTTATTTTTCTTATGGTATATAAACAATAATTTATAAACATGATATAAAAAAAATCATTGTGTTTTTTTAGACTTTTGATATTATTTGATACTGTACAAACTTTATTAAATCAAGGTTAAAAACCTCCACAACAGATTTCTTTTCAGTGTTCACAGTAGCGGCTTTGTATACAAATATGCTGTGATGGAACTGTACACTATAATTTATTGTAAAAATCTTGGAAATGTGTACATAAGCTTTTGTTTCCTCTTGTTATTGCATTTAGTTTATGATAAATTTTTCACTGGTATCTTGATCTAAATCACTACACAAATCTGATAATTAAAATAACACATTGTTACATGATTCTTCAATCATATTATTTATGGCACTGAGATTTAAGATCTTAAAATATATGTGGAAAGGAATCCATTTATTGAATTATGACTAATACAGGCATGACATTTAAAAGATAAATTCTCATGTTTGATATTTTTTGTAGTTAAATTTTCCATGAAATGAGAAATTAAAGTTTCACTGGAGTTCATTGACTTTTTAAAAAATCACATCTTTACATTTTCTCAGATTAGTGAAAACTGTGACCTTAAATATGACATATATATATATATATATATATATACATAAAATACTCCTTCAAAATGCTTATTATATCACATTTTTTAAGAAGTACATACTGTCCAGAAGATAGGAAAACACTTACACATAGTATTGTCTTAAGGTTTTTAAAATTCAGTATAATTTCCAATTTTAAAAATACAACTTGGGAAGGTAAAAAGACTTAATGAATGTAGTATTCAGTGAACTAATGAACTAGAGCCAGATTAGATAGCTAAATTCTTTCATTAGTTATGTTGAATAGGCATTTTAGTAGATAACATGCCAGACAACATTTAGTAAATTCTTAATATAATGATAACTGTGATCTCTTTCTTAGTGAAAGGGAGATTATCATATTTCCTATGTAAAATTCTATTCATTAAGAAAACAAATGCATCTTTAACATCTATAGTAGTAAATAATACAATATGCTTAAGAAGCACTTGTAACTATTTTTATTTTTGAAATTTGTGTCCTACTGTCTCTTAAAAGGGCATGAAGAGGCCTACAAAATACAAAGCCGTTAATGAAGACATTTAACTTTAAAACAGCACAGAAGTACATGGTTTCAGGCCACTAAGCAAGTAAAGCTTGGACAAAAAAATTGTTTCTAAATTTTCCTGCTTCTAAAACAATTGAAATCTTTTTGTTTTTCATAGTAGAAAACTCAAACTTACCTGCAAGAGGCTAGTTTTCTCTTAAACTAAAGAAAGGAGGGTCTTAATATTGGATGACATTTCCTTGTAATTTAAAGAAAATGAAAAATACACAGAGAGGCCTTAATGGTAAATACTAACCCAGTGAAGGCACATCTCAGTGTGACCTAGAGACACTGGTTTCTCATCAGTTTACCTGCAGTGATAGAAGTAAAGAACCAGAGGATCAGTAACTACGCCAGCCTGAGATTGCCATATATTAGTCATTGAGCCGTGGGTGGCATTAGATTGCATTTATTTCTTAGTCAAACATTTGGCAGTATGCAATATGAAGAGAAGATAATGGAACTAATAAATTTTAGGCATTATTACCAGAATAATGCTAATTGTATATATAATCTTTCATCTTTGACATCAATGGAAAAACTTTGCAGATTGTTTGCTAATGTGAAAGCCATAAATTTTAGTAATTTAAGAAAAAATTTAGCCATCTTGTGCAAGTTATTACACCCTTCAGAGACAATAGGGTGCCCAGTGTTAAACACAGAACAAAAAAGGTGAACCTGGAGGAGTGAGCAGCAGTAGGTTCACCTCCACAGAAGTGTCATCTGTTAGGCTGTTGATCCCAGATTTACCACAGGGTGTCAAGCCCCAAGTGCCCTCAGATTGCAGGAACCCTACTAATCCCAGCATCTGAAGTATATAGGAATGAAGTGTCATGTACCTTTTGTGAGGGGAAATGTTTGGCAGAAAGCGAAGGACTTTTCCATGTTGCCAGTCACAAAAGAGATCAGAAACACTCCTTTGACTTGGACTTGTTAACAGCTGGTGTCAGTGTGTTTGTCACAGTTCATGTGATTATTAGGCATTAAAACAACCTTCTGAACGCCTGAACATTTTTATAATGGTGCTGTTGTCTGGTGAGGATGCTTCCTTGTTTCAGGAGCGTGTCAACTGTTGAACAGAATAGGAAAAGCCTAATTGTGATCATAGAACAGTTCTCAATCCGAGGAGAGTATGCTTTCTTACAAAATGGTGTCTTACAAAATGATGTTCATGAACAGAAGGAACCTTGAAATTTGGGGGTTTTTTAAGATTCAAGAAAGATAATCTGCTCCAGTTTTATTGATGAGAATACTGAAGCCCAGAGAAAAGAAGGTAGTTCCCACGTCTCAGAGCTCAGTCACCCTTCCCTGCTCTCTGCTGCCTCTCTGCTTTTGCTTGCTCTGTGTTTTAAAAGCCGCTCCAAACAGCAACCCAGATGTTTCTTGTAAGCTTGTCAGTTATTCTGGTTTAAAATGTAATTTATTCTACATTTTTTTCAAAGCATTATATTTTACTTTTTTTTTTCTGTAATACTTTGTTATTCTACAATTTTGTTGCCATGATTTCTTGGCACCTGCAAATTCTGGAAGACAATTACTCTTAATTCTTAATAAACAATGTTTGTTAACATTTTATGGCCTTGACACTAGACAGAAAGAGCTTTCACTGGTTTGCTTTTGTGATCTTTTCTGAATCTAAAGGAAACAGTGTATAATCTAGAAATTAAAACACATGTGTGTGCTATTTGTTGAGTTTGGAGAATGATTTTTTGAGTTGTGAGCTAAATAATATGACAGGTTGACCTTGGATATCTTTTTTTAGCTTTCTGCAAAGTCGGTTGTCCATGTTTTATATACCTCTACTATTAACAAACTCATAATTCTGAATTTGCTTTTTTTAAAGCAACTTTTTCTTTTATTTCTGTGATTGACTTAATGGCTACAAAAGCCCAAGAAACTAATGACTGGGGTGCATGTTTCGTATATGCTCTCTTGAGGATATTCTTCTGAGGCAATGGGTTTTCTCTAAGAGGTGAACTTCCAGACCATATAAGACTTCTTATATGGATTAATATAGTATTAACTTATTACTAGAGTTGATATTTCACAGTAAAGAATTTGGTCCTTAAACTGGAAATAAAACTTGTACTTTGATTCCTTACTTGCCTCAATTTCCAAAATCTTTAAAAGTGGCAAAGAATCCTAATTTCCTTCCCAGGAAAAGTTGGCATTTCCTATCCAGTCATGTCCAAACTAATCATAGTTATGATAAAAAATAAAATCATTACGTTTTCAAATGAATCTTCAAGTGAAGAACTAAAAAAGACTAATTTAGTCTTAGCTTGCCTGTAGGATCCAGGCTGCTGCCTCCAGTCACTGAAGTGACCATGAGGTCTTTTGTAGTGCAGTAGGCTATCAGAACACGCTGTCTGTTGAGGTGCAGGATTGGGGTGCATTGATCATGGCCACAGCTTAGTGAGGATGGGGGTGTAGGTCTTATGAAAGGTGCACCCTGAGGAGAAAGCAAAGGAAGACAAGAACTCTTGAGTCGTGCAGTCACACAGATCAAGGAGCAAAAGAAGAGGAAAAAAAGGGTAGTTATCACTGCAAACAGTTGCAGAGCAATGTTAGTGTTATTTAGGATCAAGAAACAGCTTTTATCTAAAAGTTGTCTCACCCTCCAAGCTTTGTCATACTCTGTAACATCGGGTGCCTGCAGGTCACTGAGCTGGTACATTCCTTATTGAAATATTTGGAGTACCTGCTGTTTGCTAGAAGGAATTTCCATCAAAAATCTAGGTATTGAACCATGCTTTTCCAAATCTTATTCAATGCTT